GAAGGTAACGGTGCTCCATGCAGTCATGCTGGCCACATGACCTTGGAGGTGTATACGGACAACGCCGGCTCTTTGGCTTAGAAATGGAGATGAGCACCACACCCCAGAGTTAGACATGACTGGACTTAATGTCAGGGGAAAACCTTTACCTATATCTTGTAAGCCGCTCTGCGTCCCCTTCGAGGACAGAAGGGCAGCATATTAATGTCGTAAATAAATATAAATAAATAAATAAATGTTGGTTCTTTCTGCATTTATATAAGCTACAAATGTCCTGATTTGGCAGGAAGAGACCTGATTATTTCTATGTTGTTCCAGTTTAGGTGCCATTCATACCTAAATTCGGCAAAATTAGCAATGTTCAGGGCCCATTTGGTGCCTTTTAACGGTTGCTGAGCCCGTTTAGAGTTGTTTGAGGCATGTTTTGCCCTTTTGGAGCCTCTTAAAAATTGTTCAGGGCCTGGCACACACAGAAGAAGCCCTAAACAACTTTTAAGACAGCAAATGCCTAGATTCACCCAGAACAGATATGTCCCCATTGCCTTCTCCTGAGGCTGAAAGAGTGCAACTTACTCAAAAGTTTTTCCTCCTGTTCCAGGGTCCTTTTCTAAATGTTGACATTTTGGTTCTTGCTGTTGACAATCCATTTGATTTGGGAAACCCACAGAATGTATTCATCTACTGTGCTCGTACGTCTGTACCAGGAGCTCCAACTTTATTTTCTTTCTATTAAGTGTTTGCATGCAGGGATTCTGCAAAAAAGTGGCTTTCTTTGGTTTGCAGTCATAGGGCAAGCCACTTGTTTATCATTGTTAAGTTTGGATCTGCCCTTTCTCCCAGGGAGATGGGAAGGGAAAAGGGAGCCATTTTTAGTTAGAATGTATTTTCATTCACCGGAGCAAATTTGGCACAAATACCCGGTATGCCCAAATTTGAATACTGGTGGGGTTGGCAGGGAATTTGCTTCTGTCATTTGGGAGTTGTAGTTGCTGGGATTTATAGTTAACATATAAACAAAGAGCATTCTGAACCCCACCAACAATGGAATTGAACCAAAGTTGGCACAGAGAACTCCCATGACCAACAGAAAATACTGGAAGGGTTTGGTGGGCATTGACCTTGAGTTTGGGAGTTGTAGTTCGCCTACATCCAGAGAGCACTGTGGGCTCAAACAGTGATGGATCTAGACCAAACTTGGCATGGATACTCAATATGCCCAAATGTAAACACTGATGGGGTTTGGGGAAAATAGACTTTGACATTTGGGAGTTGTACATACTGGGATTTATAGTTCACCTACAATCAAGGAGCGTTCTGAACCCCACCAATGATAGAATTGGGCCAAACTTCCCACACAGAACCCCCATGACCAACAGAAAATACTGTGTTTTCTGATGGTCTTTGGCAACCCCTCTGACACCCCTTCGCGACCCCCTCAGGGGTCCCGACCCCCAGGTTGAGAAACACTGATCCAGGGAAACTGAAGTCTCTAAGAAATTCCGGAGGGAAAACAGCTTTACAGACCCAGAGAACTCCAGCTGGAGAATCTGCAAGCCTTTACTGGTAGGTCTACTCGGTGCTCAAGACACAGTTTGAATCCGGTAGTAGGACCCACATCAGTAAGGATTAGATTATAGTCAGCCTGGAAGAGGTTAAAAAAGGGTTTTCCTCTAAAGTAAAGGAACAGTTAATGAAGACAGTTACCTGTTCCTCGTGGACAAGATTAAGGAAGCCACCAATTAATTCAAAGCCTTGAAGCATTTGTTTGACCCATTGAAGATTTGAGAAATATCTGTTGGATTTGTTCAATAATCATAGAATCATAGAAACATAGAATCATAGAATCAAAGAGTTGGAAGAGACCTCATGGGCCATCCAGTCCAACCCCCTGCCAAGAAGCAGGAATATTGCATTCAAATCACCCCTGACAGATGGCCATCCAGCCTCTGTTTAAAAGCTTCCAAAGAAGGCCTCCACCACACTCCGGGGCAGAGAGTTCCACTGCTGAACGGCTCTCACAGTCAGGAAGTTCTTCCTCATGTTTAGATGGAATCTCCTCTCTTGTAGCTTGAAGCCATTGTTCCGCGTCCTAGTCTCCAGGGAAGCAGAAAACAAGCTTGCTCCCTCCTCCCTGTGGCTTCCTCTCACATATTTATACATGGCTATCATATCTCCTCTCAGCCTTCTCTTCTTCAGACTAAACATGCCCAGCTCCTTAAGCCACTCCTCATAGGGCTTGTTCTCCAGACCCTTGATCATTTTAGTCGCCCTCCTCTGGACACATTCCAGCTTGTCAATATCTCTCTTGAATTGTGGTGCCCAGAATTGGACACAATATTCCAGGTGTGGTCTAACCAAAACAGAATAGAGGGGTAGCATTACTTCCCTAGATCTAGACACTATGCTCCTATTGATGCAGGCCAAAATCCCATTGGCTTTTTTTGCCGCCACATCACATTGTTGGCTCATGTTTAACTTGTTGTCCACGAGGACTCCAAGATCTTTTTCACACGTACTGCTCTCGAGCCAGGCATCCCATTCTGTATCTTTGCATTTCGCTTTTCCTGCCAAAGTGGAGTATCTTGCATTTGTCACTGTTGAACTTCATTTTGTTAGTTTTGGCCCATCTCTCTAATCTGTCAAGATCGTTTTGAATCCTGCTCCTGTCCTCTGGAGTATTGGCTATCCCTCTCAATTTGGTGTCGTAAAGGACTTTGTTACATCATTAAAGACTCTAAAGACTATCTCTACAGGAAAATCCTTAAAGGCTTCTTTCGAGGCGCCCCTGGCTTCCCGCTGGGCACAAGATGCACGTCCTATTCCAAAAGTCAATTATTACAGGCCCAGCGCGTGACAGAACATCTATCATTTGAAGTTGGGAATTCTTCCACACCATCGTTTCCACGCTTTTGCAACTTTTCCAAGACGTTTGTGACCAATTTTGTTGTGACCAATCAGCCACCAGAGGCTAATGGTTTAACTGATGATTTAGAGAGGATTGTGCACTTTCATATGGCACAAAGTGATGGGCTCTCAAGTATGTGAAATTCAAGTCTGGGAAATGATGGTTCTCTCTGTGAGAAAACTGGGTCGGAAAGTGCAGGGCCTCAAGGGCATTCAAGAAAGTCAGAAGTAGCAACAGCAGATAAGGAATCAAGTGAAGAGCTGAGTGATAAGGAGGGTTCCCATGAGAGCTCACCTGTAACTACAAAGATCAGCAAAAGTCTTCATTTATAAATCAGAGCCAAATATAGATTGCATCATTCGGAGAGATTACATGGGAAAGTTGTGAAGGACATTCATGAGAAACTGAATGATTTCATGGGTGTCTATTAAACAACAAGTTGTTTACCTTAATGTCAGTTCAGGCAATGCTGCGTTAGAGTGAGGTCTCTTGTTCCTGGTTCAAGTCAAGCTTTGATTTTGGATTTAATATATCCTGGAATTTTTCTATGTTCTTGTTCATGCATTCCTGTTCAAGTTATACTAGTTAGACCGTCTTGATTGTGGATTTATGCTGTATCTGTGATTTCTGGCTGTTCCTAGACTTTGTCACCTCTGGAACTTTATGAAACATTTTGATTATTTTTTGCTTACCACCTGTTGCTATTTTTTTGGATTTTATATCTTCTTTTCTTATTCCAGATTATATATGTTTTTACAATAAACTGTTTGCTTATATTCCTGGACTCTTGTGTGGTTTATTTATTTGTCGTGTCAGGGCAACCAGTCAATTGTATTACATTTCTAACAGAACAAAACAAACAAACAAACAGACAAAACACAAAATTTGTGAGTTTGGTAGTTGATTAAATGTCCTTTGACCAGTATCTGGCCACTTGGAGTGCCTCTGGTGTTACTATAAGAAGGTCCTCCATTGTGCATGTGGCAGGGCTCAGGTTGCATTGCAGTAGGTGGTCAGTGGTTTGCTCCTCTCCACACTCGCATGTCGTGGATTCCACTTTGTGGCCCCATTTCTTAAGGTTGGCTCTGCATCTCGTGGTGCCAGAGCGCAGTCCGATCAGCGCCTTCCAAGTCGCCCAGTTTTCTGTGTGCCCAGAGGGAAGTCTCTCATTTGGTATCAGACATTGATTGAGATTCTGGGTTTGAGCCTGCCACCTTTGGACTCTTGCTTGCTGAGGTGTTCCAGTGAGTGTCTCTGTAGATCTTAGAAAACTATTTCCAGATTTAAGTCGTTGACGTGCTGGCTGATACCCAAACAGGGAATGAGCTGGAGATGTTTCTGCCTTGGTCCTTTCACTATTGGCTGCTACTTCCCGGCAGATGTCAGGTGGTGCAATACCGGCTAAGCAGTGTAATTTCTCCAGTGGTGTAGGGCACAGACACCCCGTGATAATGCCACATGTCAGTAAGAGCCACATCCACTGTTTTAGTGTGGTGAGATGTGTTCCACACTGGGCATACATACTCAACAGCAGAGTAGCACAGCGCAAGGGCAGATGTCTTCACTGTGTCTGGTTGTGATCCCCAGGTTGTGCCAGTCAGCTCTCGTATGATATTGTTTCCAGCACCCACTTTTTGCTTGATGTTCAGGCAGTGCTTCTTGTAGGTAAGAGCACGGTCCAGAGTGACTCCCAGGTATTTGGGTGCGCTGCAATGCTCCAGTGGGATTCCTTCCCAGGTGATCCTCAGAGCTCAGGATGCTTGTCTGTTCTTGAGATGAAAAGCACATGTCTGTGTTTTGATTGATGAGGGATCAGTTGGTTTTCCCTGTAATAGGCAGTAAGAGCACCTAGAGCTTCGGAGAGCTTCTGTTCAAACATCTCAAATCTCCCTGCTTGAGCAGTAATGGCACGATCATCAGCATAGATGAAACTCTCTGTCCCTTTTGGCAGCGGCTGGTCATTTGTGTAGATGTTGAACATGGATGGAGTGGTGCGGTGGTCATAGGTCTTGTGTGGTGCGGTGGTCATAGGTGTTTCCAGGCCTGGAGTGCAACAAATGTGAGCAAATGCATTAAGAAACACTTGAGTCTGTGCTGGCTGCAATATTTTTTTTAATCAAAATTACACTCTGTTGCATTAAAATAACTGAATTTTGACTCTAAACCCTTGGGATGTTTCAAGTGATTGCATTCTTTTGACCACTGTTTACAGCCTGGCAAAGTCCCGCCCCCCCCCCCCCCCCGTTCATCATAATGGCATCTTCTCCTCCTCCACGTACACACACATATAAATGCCTTCTTCCACAATGTATTCTGCCATAGGCTGGCAAAGGCAGCCTGTCATATTGGATCCCATCTCACATCCTCAACCAGCTCCTTGATCTGGATCTCACCCTCTTTTTCTACTCCCTCCCCTTCCCTGCTGAACCCATCATTGGAACAGATCTAAAAATATATCTCTCTTTCCACACTGAATAATGGCCCTTTTAAAGGCTTGGCTTTTTGGAGGATTTTGATGCCTTGTGGCAGAATTTTAACGTTCGGGGTAGTCCTACCATTACAAATTCAACTCTGTTAGCGCTCAGCAAGCGTGTACAAAAATACATATGAACAATTCTCGTAAAGCATTCTCTCCTGACATTTTGCCCACATCCATGGCAGGCATCCTTACAGGTTGTTAGGTCTGTTGGAAACTAGGCAAGTGGGGTTTATATATCTGTGGAATGTCCAGGGTGGGAGAAAGACTTTTGTCTGGGTTGCTATGAGTTTTCCAGCCTGTATGGCCATGTTTCAGAAGCATTCTCTCCTGACGTTTCACCCACATCTATGGCAGGCATCCTCAGAGGTTGTGAGGCCTGTTGGAAACTAGGCAAGTGAGGTTTATATATCTGTGGAATGATGTCCAGTGTGGGAGAAATACTCCTGTCTGGATTGCTGTGAATTTTCCAGCCTGTATGGCCATGTTTCAGAAGCATTCTCTCCTGACGTTTCACCCACATTGCATTAAAATGTTAGGAGCAAATGCTTCTGGAACATGGCCATACGGCCCAGAAGACTCACAGCAACCTAGTGATTCCAGCCATGAAAGCCTTCAACAACACAATTCTTGTAAAGGTTCTGTTCTGTGCAGATCTGCACCAGGATTGTGGCACAGCTGGCTGAGTGTCAGCTGCATTAAGATCACTCTGACCAAAAAGGTCATGAGTTTGAAGCCAGCCCAGGTTGGAGTGGGTTTCCAACCAATTGTGTGTAACCTGTTGTCGACCTTTGCAACGCGAAAGTTGAATCTGTCAAGTAGGAAAATAAGGTACCACCTTAAAGTGTGGGGAGGCTAAATTAACTGATTTATGAGGCCAGAAAGAAGACTCCGGCAAAGCATTCCAGCGGGGAAGCATGCGGGGAATGCGGAAGTGCTTCATAAGCGTCGCAGATGGACGATGAAAGCGACAGCTCCCCTGGCGGCCAGAAAAAGTTAAATATAGCCTCTGTCTATGTCTGTATATGTTTGTATGTCAAAAATTGGCATTGAATGTTTGCCATATATGTGTACACTGTGATCCGCCCTGAGTCCCCTGCGGGGTGAGAAGGGCGGAATATAAAAGCTGTAAATAAACTTCCTCGCCTGGGGAGAAACCAGCCTTGGTCGATGCCAAATCTGGTTGTTATGACTTCTGTGCTGAGCCCTAAGGTTTCTTTCTAGCAAGCAGATTCTCCAATCCACAACTCCAACAAAACAAAGCCAAAGGGTTTGACTTTGAGTTCCCTCCCAGCAGTTCATTTGTCACCAATGAAGGTTCCTTCCCTCCCCTCTTCCCCACCCATTCTGCAGTGCAGGACAACTACCCCCAATGGCTTTGACGCCTCCTTCCAGTTTGTTTTCCCAGAGATTTGTATTCATTTTGTCCTTCAATGAAAAGGAATCCCATTCTGGATGTGACTGAAGCTTATGGAACAACATGGCTGGTGAGCAAGAACAGTGGCATTAACTTATGTATTAGGAGCATCCATCAGACAGCAGAGAGGATGCTTTGGCTCTCCAAGTCAGACAATGTGGGAAGACACCCTTGTATTTTACCCTGGCATTGTCAACTTCCACTGGACGATATCCAAACAGGGTTCTTCTCCATTGCCCATCCCAACGATGCCACTGGAAACTGAGCCTGGATACCCTCAGCAAAGGAACCTGGGAAGACAGCTCCATTTTAAGTCCCATCCTTGCTGTCGAGGCAGCAGCATTTCTGTAGACAGTTTCCTCGTGGCCTCTCATCCAAAGCTTTAGTCTCTTTTTTTTGCCCAAAATCAGATGAGAGGTTGAGATGAGTTGAGGTTTGGCCATGGTTTTAGTAAACAGAAAGTCAAAACAAAAAGTTGTGAGGATGAGTCTCCTCCTTGGAACAGGTTTTAGTAAATGGAAAGTCAAAACAAAAAGTTGTGAGGATGAGTATCCTCCTTGGAACAGGTTCCTAGCAGTGGTTGGATGAAGTGGTCCTTGTGACATGTGCAAACGAGCATGTGTGCCGGTTGGAAAAGAAAGGGTAGTACATCAGTACAGAAACTAAACGGAAAGGAAAAGCAATCTGAGTTGGAATCAAAAGGTGCCCATCCAAGAGTTGTTGGGAAACAGAGTGCGGGGTGTCCAATGCTGCAACCATGTGTTCAGTCCACAGAAAGTGATACCAATGCAGGACGGCTGACGATAAGGGGGTTTCCTGCCCCAGCTGCTTGCCGACACAGAGAGAATGGACAGCAGATCATCACAACGATTGAACGGGACAAGCAATGAAGATGGATGAAGAACCTGCAACAGAAGAGTGGGTTTGGAAGGGAGAGACAGGACCGATCCATGTAAACACTCTTGTATCAGCCTTTGATTGTGCTTTTACTGCATGACGCCTCCGATGGCGCAATCGGTTAAACCAGGGGTCCTCAAACTTTTTAAACCGGGGGCCAGTTCACTGTCTCTCAGACCGTTGGAGGGCCGGACTATTGTTTTTTTTTTAAATCAATTAAAAATTCCTATGCACATTGCACATATCTTATTTTGCTGTGTGGAAGGGACCTTCGAGGGGGTTCTTTCTAGCCCTCAACACTCAAACACAGGGGAACTCCAGACAAGAAACAATCAGGGCCAGTTAATCACCTCTCAACAAAGGATTCTCCCTAAAAACTATCAGGCTATGAAATGGTAATCCAGGTGGCCAATTGAAACATTCATACTTACCTCCAACAGACAAGAGTTCTTTCTCCCACCCTGAATCTTATGGAACAACATGGCTGGTGAGCAAGAACAGTGGCATTAACTTATGCATTAGGAGCACCCATCAATTTTCCTAGTTAAAGGTTTTCCTCTGACATGAAGTCCAGTTGTGTCTGACTCTGGGGTGTGGTGCTCATCTCCATTTCTAAGCCGAAGAGCCGGCGTTGTTCGTAGACACCTCCAAGGTCATGTGGCCGGCATGACTGCATGGAGCACTGGGGCAGCTTCCCTTGGCTGGCTCACGCTGCCCATCGGGCTCGATGGGCAGCGTGAGCCTGCCAAGGGAGGAGCAGCTCCACACGGCCTACTCACGCGTAAAGCACCTCACATGAGCTGGCCTTGGCTCACGCTGCCCATCGGGCTGCCCATCGGGCCTGACGGATAGCGTGAGCCTGCCAAGGGAAGAGCAGCCCCGCGCGGCCTACTTGCGTGTAAAGCACATCACAAGGTGCTTTACGCGCAAGTAGGCCACGCGGAGCAGCTGCCCTTGGCTGGCTCACGCTGCCCATCAGGCCTGACGGATAGCGTGAGCCAGCCAAGGGAGGGGCACTGTGGGGGGGGGGGGCGCTCCTCCTCCACAGGCCGGATAAGTGCCCTTGGCGGGCTGGAAGTGGCCCGCGAGCCATAGTTTGAGGACCCCTGGGTTAAACCTTTGTGCCGCCAGGACTACTGATCAAAAGCTCAGCAGTTCGAATCCGGGAAGAGTGGGTTGAGCTCCCTCTATCATCTCCAGCTCCCCATGCGGGGACATGAGAGAAGCCTCCCACAAGGATGGTAAAACATCAAACATAATAATAATAATAATAATAATACTTTATTTGTACCCCGCTACTATCTCCCCAAGGGACTCGGTGCGGCTTACATGAGGCCGAGCCCACAATACATCAGCAAAAACAACAACAACAGCAATACAAAACAATAAAATGAAACTCATAAACAAAAATCAAGCAGTAAACATTAACAATAGTACGACAACGCTTAAAAACCTATGGCTGGGCCAAATGTAATAATTAAAAATTTAAAAAATAATGCTGAGCATGACCAGGTGAAATATATAACTAGGATAGAGTTTTTGGAGAGGGATGGGCGTGCAGACAATCATAGATCACTGATAAAGTGCATTTAGGGACATATTGCTGGGAGTTTCCTTATTCTGGGAAGGCACACCGGAACAAACATGTTTTCAGGCTCCTCCAAAAGACTGCCAACGTTGGGGCATGCCTGATGTCCTTGGGAAGTGAGTTCCAGAGTTGAGGGGCCACCACTGAGAAGGCCCTCTCTCTCGTCCCCACCAATCGCGCCTGTGAATGGAGGTGGGAGTGCGAGCAGGGCCTCTCCAGATGATTGAAGACATCGTGTGGGTTCATATACTGAAATACGGTCATGAAGGTAGGCGGGTCCCAAACTGTTTAGGGCTTTGTAGGTAAGAACCTGCACCTTGAATTGGGACCGGAAAATGAACGGCAGCCAATGGAGCTCCTTAAACAGGAGGCTTGACCGCTCCCTGTAAGGAGCACCAGTTAACAACCTGGCAGCTGCCCGTTGAACCAATTGAAATTTCCGGGCCATTTTCAAGGGCAGCCCTACGTGGAGTGCATTACAGTAGTCCAATCTGGAGGTGACTAAGGCATGGACCACCCTGGCCAGATCCCCCTTCACGAGGCACGGTCGCAGTTGGCGCACGAGTCTTAGTTGTGCAAAGGCCCTCCTGGCCACCACTGACGCCTGAGCTTCAAGCGTAAGTGCTGAGTCCAGGAGGACACCCAAGCTGCGGACCTGTAGCTTCAGGGGGAGTGCAACCCCGCCCAACACAGGTTGCCACCCTATACCCCGATCTGGTTTACGATCTACCAGGAGGACCTCTGTCTTGTCGGGATTGATCTTCAGCTTGTTCGTCCTCATCCAGACAGCCACAGCGGTCAGGCACTCGTCCAGCACCCGAGGGGCTTCCTTGGAATTAGGTGGAAAATAGTAGTAGAGTTGCGTGTCATCTGCGTAGAGATGGCACCCAACTCCAAAACTCTGGATGACCTCTCCCAGCGGTTTCATGTAGATGTTAAAAAGCATGGGAGACAGAATGGAGCCTTGCGGGACCCCACAGGTCAAAGGCCAGGGGTCCGAGCAGGTGTCTCCCAGCTTCACCATCTGGGATCGACCCTCCAGGAAGGACCGGAGCCATGACAAAGCCATACCTCCAAGGCCCATCCCGGAGAGTCATCCCAGAAGGATACCATGATCGATGGTATCGAAAGCCGCTGAGATATCCAAGAGGACCAACAGAGTCACACTCCCCCTGTCCAGCTCCCTGCGGAGGTCATCCATCAAGGCGACCAAAGCCGTCTCGGTGCCGTGACCAGGTCTGAAGCCAGGCATCCCCTGGGTAACATCCTTGCAGACAGCCAATTCTCTCAGACCAGAAGTGACTTGCAGTTTCTCAAGTTGCTCCTGACACATACACCCCCCCCCCCCCGAATGACACATACTACCTAGATCAGCGGTTCTCAACCTGGGGGTCGCGACCCCCCAGGGGGTCGTTTGGCCATTTCGGAGGGGTCGCGAGGCCGCCTCCTTAGGCCCCGCCCACAAGGCTGCGAGCCCTCCCTGGGCGCCTTCGCAGCCCGCGGGGGAGCCCAGGAGGGGCTCGCGCGAAGGCTGCCTCAGCTCCCTCACCGCTTCGCCAAATGGCGAGGCCGCAAGGCAGCCGGGGGCTCCTTTGCGCGAGTCCTCCCTGGGCTCCTTCGCGGCCTCGCCATTTGGCGAGCGCGCGGGGGAGCCCAGGAGGGGCTCGCGCGAAGGCTCCCTCATGGCTTCGCCAAATGGCGAGGCCGCAAGGCAGCCGGGGGCTCCTTTGCACGAGTCCTCCCTGGGCTCCTTCGCGGCCTCGCCATTTGGCGAGCGCGCGGGGGAGCCCAGGAGGGGCTCGCGCGAAGGCTCCCTCATGGCTTCGCCAAATGGCGAGGCCGCAAGGCAGCCGGGGGCTCCTTTGCGCGAGTCCTCCCTGGGCTCCTTCGCGGCCTCGCCATTTGGCGAGCGCGCGGGGGAGCCCAGGAGGGGCTCGCGCGAAGGCTCCCTCATGGCTTCGCCAAATGGCGAGGCCGCAAGGCAGCCGGGGGCTCCTTTGCGCGAGTCCTCCCTGGGCTCCTTCGCGGCCTCGCCATTTGGCGAGCGCGCGGGGGAGCCCAGGAGGGGCTCGCGCGAAGGCTCCCTCATGGCTTCGCCAAATGGCGAGGCCGCAAGGCAGCCGGGGGCTCCTTTGCACGAGTCCTCCCTGGGCTCCTTCGCGGCCTCGCCATTTGGCGAGCGCGCGGGGGAGCCCAGGAGGGGCTCGCGCGAAGGCTCCCTCATGGCTTCGCCAAATGGCGAGGCCGCAAGGCAGCCGGGGGCTCCTTTGCGCGAGTCCTCCCTGGGCTCCTTCGCGGCCTCGCCATTTGGCGAGCGCGCGGGGGAGCCCAGGAGGGGCTCGCGCGAAGGCTCCCTCATGGCTTCGCCAAATGGCGAGGCCGCAAGGCAGCCGGGGGCTCCTTTGCGCGAGTCCTCCCTGGGCTCCTTCGCGGCCTCGCCATTTGGCGAGCCTGCGGGAGCCCAGGAGGGGCTCGTGTGAAGGCTGCCTCGGCTGCAACTCCCAAATGTCAAGTCAAACCCCTCCCCAAACTCCTCCGGTGTTCACATTTGGGCGTATTGAGCATTCATGTCAAGTTTGGTCCGGATCCATCATTGTTTGAGTCCACAGTGCTTTTGGAGGTAGGTGAACTATAATTCCAAAACTCAAGGTCCATGCCTGCCAAATCTTTCCAGTATTTTCTGTTGGTCATGGGAGTTCTGTGTGCCACGTTTGGTTCAGTTCCATCATTGGAGTTGGTGGGGTTCTTTGAAATCCCTGTAAATACAACTCCCAAATGTCAAGGTCTATTTTCCCCAAACTCCAACTGTGTTCATATTTGGGCATATGAAATATTCTTGCTAAGTTTGGTCCAGATCCATCATTGTTTGAGTCCACAGTGCTCTCTGGATGTAGGTGAACTACAACTCCCAAACTCAAGGTCAATGCCCACCAAACCCTTCCAGTATTTTCTGGGAGTTCAGTGTGCCAAGTTTGGTTCCATTCCATTGTTGGTGAAGTTCAGAATGCTCTTTGATTGTAGGTTAACAATAAATCCCAACAACGATACCGCTGAGTTGCTGAGCTTGTTGACCCAAAGGGCACAGGTTCTAATCCAGGAAGTAGCATGAGCTTCCGCTGTCAGCCCCAGCTTCTGCCAACTTAGCAGTTCAAAAACATGCAAATGTGAGTAGATCAATAGGTACTGCTCTGGTGGGAAGGTAACTATGCTCCCTGCAGTTATGCTGGCCACATGACCTTGGAGGTGTCTACGGACAATGCTGGCTCTTTGGCTTAGAAATGGAAATGGGCACCACACCCAAGTCAGACATGACTGGACATAATGTCAGGGGAAAACTTTTACCTACAACTCCCAAATGACAAAACCAACTCCCCCCCCCAACCCCACCAGTATGCAAATTTGGGTGTATTGGGTAATTGTGCCAAATTTGGTTTGGGGGTCACCACAACATGAGGAACTGCATTAAGGGGTCACGGTATTAGGAAGGTTGAGAACCACTGAGCTAGATGGTCCATGTGGTCTCTACTAGCTCTATTAGAGAGGGCTGCAGTGGTGCAATGGGTTAAACCCTTGTCCTGCTGAACTGCCGAACTGAAAGTTGGCAGTTCGAATCCATGGGACAGGGTGAGCCTGCTTGTTAGCCCTAGCTCCTTCCAACCTAGCAGTTTGAAAGCATGCAAGTGTAAATAGATCAATAGGTACCTCCTCGGTAGGAAGGCAAACAGTCATGCCTGCCATATGACCAAGAGGCATCTATGGACAACACAGGCTCCTCAGCTTGGAAATGGAGATCAACATCTCCCCCAGAGCCGGAGTTGAGTACCACCTCCAAAAGCTGGAGGTGAAAGGGGAAGCCTTTGTCTGTGAATGTCTTTCTCATTGTATCAAGGCATTGAATGTTTGCCTGTGTTTGTATATATGCTGTAATCCGCTCTGAGTCCTCTCAGGGAGATAGGGCAGAATATAAATAAAGTGTTGTTGTTATTCTTCTTGTTGTTGATATTCCATGATTCTGAATTTATGCTTCTCCACCAGGAGCAAAGTACATATAACAAAGTACACAAGTTAAGGCAGGCCCTGAGTGACATGCAGGACACCCAACCCCCTCGGAATATCTTGCTTTTTTCCTTTCCTTCTCACCTCTTTCCTCCCTGGCAGCCTTCACCTCTTTCGGAGCCTCTTCATGAAGCAGCAGGTGACGGAGACGAGGATGGTGACCCCCATGAAGATGGCACTGGAGACGCCAGCCAGCAGTGGGATGAACAAAGTGTCCATGGCTAGGGAGAAGGATTGAGAAGAGCGTCAAAATAGGCAATGGGGCCAAGGCAGAGCCCCACAAAGGACATTATACATTCCTCTATAGAAGGCTTGAGATTCCAACTTCCTCACACATGCTCTATTATAACCCCAGGAAATTAAATCTAGGCTTCAGAGGGATGGAGTTCCACATACTTGGTCCAAGACAGAAGGTGTATCTACTAGGCATGGGCGATCCATGGTTCTAAATAGTTCTAAAATCCTTACAAAATTAAGTTCTGGTGGTGAAAACTAGGGGGCGCTGGTGCTTTGCTTCTACAGTGTTGCTAAAGTTCTGGTGGTGAAAATTTCAGAACCCTAACAAAACTTTTAAAATTTTGTTGTTATTTTGTTATTGGCGATTTTTATGACAGAACCAATTAGGAACTGCCATTTATAATGAAATTTCAAAAGTTTTGTTAGAGTTCTGAAATTTTCACCACCAGAACTTTAGCAACACAGTAGAAGCAAAGCACCAGTGCCCTCTAGTTTTCACCACCGGAACTTTAGTTTTGTAAGTACTTTAGTACCATTTAGAACAGGGGTCCCCAAACTACGGCCTGCGGCACGTATCCGGCCCACGGAGGAGGAGCGCCCCCCCCCCCCCCACACAGTGCCCCTCCCTTGGCAGGCTCACGCTATCTGTCAGGCCCAATGGGCAGTGTGAGCCAGCCAAGGGCAGCTGCTCCGTGTGGCCTACTCGCGCGTAAAGCACCTTCGCAAGGTGCTTTACATGCGAGTAGGCCGTGCGGGGTTGCTCCTCCCTTGGCAGGCTCACGCTGCCCATCGGGCCCGATGGGCAGAGTGAGCCAGCCAAGGGAGGCTGCCCCGGAGCTCCATGCAGTCATGCTGGCCACATGACCTTGGAGGTATCTACGGACAACGCCGGCTCTTCCGACTTAGAAATGCAGATGAGCACCACACCCCAGAGTCAGACACGACTGGACTTCATGTCAGAGGAAAACCTTTAACTAGGAAAATTGTGGAAGATCCAGGGTGGGAGAAAGAACTCTTGTCTTTTGGAGGTAGGTATGAATGTTTCAATTGGCCACCTTGATTACCATTTCATAGCCTGACAGTTTTTAGGGAGAATCCTTTGTTGAGAGGTGATTAGCTGGCCCTGATTGTTTCTTGTCTGGAGTTCCTCTGTGTTTGAGTGTTGTTCTTTATTTACAGTTATAATTTCAGAGTTTTTTTAATACGGGTAGCCAGATTTTGTTCAGACTAGAAATAGGAAGATTTCCCATTCTGTGCTCCTGGAATTACTGCCTCAAGAGGGCTAGAAAGAACCCCCTCGAAGGGCCCTTCCACACAGCAAAATAAGATATGTGCAATGTGCATAGGAATTTTTTTATTGATTTTTTTTTAAAAAAAACTATAGTCCGGCCCTCCAATGGTTTGAGGGACAGTGAACTGGCCCCCGGTTTAAAAAGTTTGAGGACCCCTGATTTAGAACCATGGATTGCCCATGCCTAGTATCTACGCTAAAGAGCACTGGTGCCTCATCAACCTACAACTTCCAGGATTCCATAGCATTGAGCCATGGCAGTTGAAATGGGTCAAGTGGTGTTAATGGTACAGTGTAAATAATAATAATAATAATAATAATAATAATAATAATAGATTTATATTCTGCCCTTCTCCGTGTGGGGACTCAGATCAGTGTAAACAGATACTGGCAAACATTCGATGCCTTCTTACAATACAATGAGGTACACAAACACAAACAAAGGCAGAGGCTTCTTCTTTCATTTCCTGCTTTGGAGGCGGTGCTCATCTCTGGCTCTGGGGGAAATGCTGCTCTAAATTTCTAAGCACCGGGATTGTGGCGCAGCTGGCTGAGTGTCAGCTGCATTAAGATCACTCTGACCAAAAAGGTCATGAGTTCGAAGCCAGCCCTGGTTGGAGTGGATTTCCAACCAATTGTGTGTAGCCTGTTGTCGACCTTTGCAACCCGAAGTAGGAAAATAAAGTACCAACTTAAAGTGTGGGGAGGCTACATTAACTGATTTATGAGGCCATAAAGAAGACTCCAGCAAAGCATTCCAGTGGGGAAGCATGCGGGGAATGCGGAAGTGTTTCATCAGCGTCGCAGATGGACGATGAAAGTGACAGCTCCTCTGGCAGCTAGAAAAAAGTTAAATAGCCTCTGTGTATGCCTGTATATGTTTGTATGTCAAAATTGGCATTGAATGTTTGCCATATATGTGTACACTGTAATCCACCCTGAGTCCCCTGCGGGGTGAGAAGGGCGGAATATAAAAGCTGTAAATAAATAAATAAATAAGCTGAGGAACCTGCATTGTCACCTCCTAGTTGTGTGACCGGCTTGACTGCTTTGGAGCATCTTATGCCTTTCCCGCTGAAGCCGTACCTATTGATCTACTCACATTTGCATGTTGTCAAACTGCTAGGTTGGCAGGAGCTAGGGCTAACAGTGGGAGCTCACCCCATCCCACGGATTCGAATTGCTACCTTTCAAGCCAGCAGTTAGCTCCCTCTATCATCTCAATTGCACCACCACAGCCCAAAGAGGGGAAAGATGCACCCAAAGAGGGGAATCAGGGAAGCCCCAGGCATTATGGGACTACAACTCCCAAAATTCCCCAACATTAGCAGTGCTGGCCCAGGGAGATGCTGGAAGTGGCACTCTGATACCCTCCACCTCTGCAAGTTTAAGGCAAGAGCAGATGAAATAATGATGACCCATCTTTGGGTTGTTGTAGGTTTTTGGGGTATATGGCCATGTTCTAGAGTCATTCTTTCCTGACATTTCGCCTGCATCTATGGCAAGCATCCTCAGAGGTAGTGAGGTCTGTTGGAACTAGGAAAAATGGGGTTTATATATCTGTGGAATGACCAGGGTGAGACAAAGGACTCTTGTCTGTTGGAGCTAGGTGTGAACGTTTCAACTGGCCACCTTGATTAGCATTTGATAGCCTGGCAGTGCCTGGAGCAATCTTTTGTGGAGAGGTGATTAGATGTCCCTGATTGTTTTCCCTCTGCTGTCAGGCCATTATATGCTAATCAAGGTGGTCAGCTGAAACATTCACACCTAGCTCCAGTAGACAAGAGTCCTTTGGCTCACCCTGGTCATTCCATAGATATATAAACCCTTTTTCCTAGTTCCAACATACCTCACTACCTCTGAGGATGCTTGCGAAACGTCAGGAGAAATGCCTCTAGAACATGGCCATATAGCCCGAAAAAACATACAACAACCCAGTCAGGAGAGAATGCTTCTAGAACATGGCCATATACCCCAAAAACCTACAACAACCCAGTGATTCTGTCCATGAAAGCCTTTGACAATACATTCTGTCCTGATGTTTTGCCTGAATCTATGGCAAGAATCATCAGAGGTTGTGAGGCCATATAGCCCAAAAAACCTGCAACAACCCAGTGGTTCCGGCCATGAAAGCCTTCAACATTACATTGACCCATCTTTGTTAGACATGCTGAGAACTCAAGCCATTCCTGCCCTCCCCGCCAAGCCTCGACTCACGCAGTGCATATGGGTACACGGTGACAACATTCGACTTCACAGATCCAGCCTTGTACCAACTCTGGTCAGGGTAGCGCACCCAAGCTGTCACGGCACAGTGGTACTTCCCTTCATCCGAGGGTTGGACCCCGTGGAGACGGAGGCGGTGGCTGAGAGGCCCGACCTTGTCCACACTCAGTGCACCGCCGGAGAGCCGGGTCCCAAGGTCGGCCACTCCTTCGCGGCTCACTGCGGCGAGCATGGTGCCACGAGGCTCCGACTCCTCTTCGTGTTGCTCTACCCACCAGCTGAGCGCCAGGTAGACAGGTTGGATGGAGTCCACCGAGATGTTGCATCGCACGTCAGCCATGTCCCCCCGGTAGATGGTGGGGAAGAGAAGCCATGCAGTGGCATCAAGAACCACGGCTGTGGAAATAAAAGGGGCATAGGAGGAGATGCCCAAAACACAAGGGCAGTACAATTAGAACTGTGAACCACCGCCTCCTCCTGAGAAAAATGTATAATATCACAAAGGACTACCATCTCACCCGCTTCATAGAAAACCTGCTACAAAACAGGAGCTTTTTTGTTGAGTTGCAGGGCCAGAGAAGCAGATGGCGGAAACAGAAGAACGGCGTGCCTCAGGGGAGCATGCTCGCTCCATCAATGTTCAACATCTACACAAATGACCAGCCACTGCCAGAAGGGACAGAGAATTTAATCTATGCTGATGATCATGACATTACCGCTCAAGCAGGGAGCTTTGAGATGGTTGAACAGAAACTCTCAGAAGCTCTAAGTGCTCTAACTGCCTATTACAGGAAAAACCAAGTGATCCCTAATCCATCTAAAACACAGACATGTGCCTTTCACCTTAAGAACAGACAAGCATCCCGAGCTCTGAGGATGACCTGGGAAGGAATCCCACTGGAGCATTGCAGCACACCCAAATACCTGGGAGTCACTCTGGACCGTGCTCTGACCTACAAGAAGCACTGCCTGAATATCAAGCAAAAAGTGGGTGCTAGAAACAATATCATACGAAAGCTGACTGGCACAACCTGGGGATCACAACCAGACACAGTGAAGACATCTGCCCTTACACTATGCTACTCTGCTGCTGAGTATGCATGCCCAGTGTGGAACACATCTCACCACACTAAAACAGTGGATGTGGCTCTTAATGAGACAAGCCGCATTATCACAGGGTGTCTGCGCCCCACACCACTGGATAAATTACACTGCTTAGCCGGTATTGCACCACCTGACATCCGCCAGGAAGTAGCAGCCAATAGTGAAAGGACCAAGGCAGAGACATCTCCAGCTCATCCCTTGTTTGGGTATCAGCCAGCACGTCAACGACTTAAATCTAGAAATAGTTTTCTTAGATCTACAGAGACACTCGCTGGAACACCTCAGCAAGCGAGAGTCCAAAAGTGGCAGGCTCAAACCCAGCACCTCAATCCGTGGGTGATACCAGATGAGAGACTCCCCCCATGGCACACAGAAGACTGGGCGACTTGGAAGGCGCTGAACAGACTGCGCTCTGGCACCACGAGATGCAGAGCCAATCTTAAGAAATGGGGCTACAAAGTAGAATCCACGACATGCGAGTGTGGAGAAGAGCAAATCACGGACCACCTGCTGCAATGCACCCTGAGCCCTGCCACATGCACAATGGAGGACCTTCTTGCGGCAACACCAGAGGCACTCCAAGTGGCCAGATACTGGTCAAAGGACATTTAATAGAATACCAAGTGTGCAAAATTTGTGTTTTTTTAATCTGTTTGTTTTGTTCTGTTAGAAATGTAATACAATGGTCTGGTTGCGGATGACACGATAAATAAAAGTAGAATTAGAAACAATGGGCAAGAATCTACTATGCTTGCTTACATTGTTATGAATGCTTTGATTTGACATCTTCTTTGGACTCCTGATATCTTCTTAGATATCTTGGTTGGGAAGGCCTTTGATGGTGCCTTCCAGCGTGGTAGAATGGAGTTGGACTGGATGACCTTTGTGGTCTCTTCCAACTTTATGATTCCCATAAACCCAGCCTTGGCCAACACAGGGACCCAAGTTAACTTTGCATTCGAGCATTTACCTTCTGATTTCATGTCCACCATCAATGCCTCCGACCTGCCACTGGCCACTTCGCGCAACTGTGAAGTAGGAGAATGAACAAATGCCCGCACTACACACTGGTACGTGCCCACATCCCCTGGTTGAGCCGCCTCTATTCGCAGTTGATAAAAGGCAGCAGGAGACTCCAACTTTTGTAAAGACACATGTCGGTTGCCCACGTTGCGGTTGGCATAGCTCTCGCCCAAGATGACCGCTCCGTCTACGCCAAGCTGGGCCACGAGACGTCCTTCCTCCGCAGGTCCCTTGCCCAGATGCCAGCTGACTGAGAGGGTAACATGAGGTAAAAGGACAGCCTCAATTCCTGAGATGTTGCAAAGGAGTTCCAGGGCTTCTCCGGAGCTGATCCCAACTCTGGGAGGGCTTGCGGACACTGCAAGCCGGCTAGCTGGAAGCAGAAAACAAAAGGACAGACAATGGCAATATTAAATGGAGATTCATAGAATCATAGAATCAAAGAGTTGGAAGAGACCTCATGGGACATCCAGTCCAACCCCCTACCAAGAAGCAGGAATATTGCATTCAAATCACCACTGACAGATGGCCATTCAAAGAAGGAGCCTCCACCACACTCCGGGGCAGAGAGTTCCACTGCTGAACGGCTCTCACAGTCAGGAAATTCTTCCTCATGTTCAGATGGAATCTCCTCTCTTGTAGTTTGAAGCCATTGTTCCACGTCCTAGTCTCCTTGGAAGCAGAAAACAAGCTTGCTCCCTCCTCCCTGTGGCTTCCTCTCACATGGCTATCATATCTCCTCTCAGCCTTCTCTTCTTCAGGCTAAACATGCCCAGCTCCTTAAGCCGCTCCTCATAGGGCTTGTTCTCCAGACCCTTGATCATTTTAGTCGCCCTCCTCTGGACACATTCCAGCTTGTTAATATCTCTCTTGAATTGTGGTGCCTAGAATTGGACACAATATTCCAGGTGTGGTCTAACCAAAGCAGAATAGAGCATGGGGAGCATGACTTCCCTTGATCTAGACACTATGCTCCTATTGGTTGAGGCCAAAACCCCGTTGGCTTTTTTTGCCGCCACATCACATTGTTGGCTCATGTTTAACTTGTTGTCCACGAGGACTCCAAGATCTTTTTCACATGTACTGCTCTCGAGCCAGGCATTGCTCCCCATTCTGTATCTTTGCATTTTCTCCCTAAGTGGAGTATCTTGCATTTGTCCCCGTTGAACTTCATTTTGTTAGTTTTGGCCCAACTCTCTAGTCTGTCCAGATCGTTTTGAAGTTGTGATACCCTTATTTCCAGTAGGTTGTGGAATTTCCAGTAGATGACACCAAATCTGGAAAGGTAGCTAACAACCCAGAGGACAGGATCAGAATTTTAAAAGACCTTTACAGATTGAAGAGCTGAGCCCAAAATAGCAAAATGAATTTCCACAGGGAGAAATGCAAGGAACTACACTGAAACACATAGGCAGAAAAAATCGAAGGAGGACTAACCGTCCCCTGCCACACGTTGCTGTGGCCCAGTCTGTATATATGTGTTTTGTGTGTGTACATTTGTATATATGTGTGTAAATATTTGTGTATATTTTCCTAGTTAAAAATATGGATAATAAAACAAAAGAAAAAATACAAAACAAAACAGGGATAAAGATCGAAAACAAAGTAAAATACCTGGGAATAACGATTACACAAAGTAATACGCAATTATTAAAAAACAATTACGAGCAACTCTGGAATAAAATCCATAAAGATTTGGAGAGATGGAAGTATGAAAACATATCATGGTTAGGCAGGATTGCAATACTGAAAATGAACATTCTTCCAAAACTCTTATTTCTTTTTCAAACACTACCGATAATTAGGAATGACCACTTATTTAAAAAATGGAACAAAGAAATTACAAAATTTGTATGGAAAAATGGCAAACCAAGAATAAATTTCAGAGTACTTACGGATGACAGGAAAAGAGGAGGACTGGGCCTTCCAAACTTTAAACTCTATTATGAGGCATGTAATTTGGTTGGAATTAAGGGCCATCTTAAAAAACAAGACTCTACTAACATTGGAAGGGCATGACTTGAGAACGGGCTGGCATGGCTACTTATGGCATGACAAAAAGAAAGTGGAAAAAATTTTTAGCAACCACTTTATAAGACAGCACTTATAAAAACCTGGGAAAAATACAAATTAAGATTGTATAGTAAAACACCCCGGTGGATATCCCCAGTAGAAGCCAGGCATAAGAGAAATTTAGGAGAGGAAAACTGGCTAACCTACAACCAAATTTTAGAAAAGGTAGAGGAACGAGAGACCAAATTGCCAATCTCCGCTGGATAATGGAGAAAGGCAGGGAGTTTCCGAAAAAAATCTACTTCTGCTTCATTGACTATTCTAAAGCCTTTGACTGTGTGGATCATAATAAATTGTGGCAAGTCCTTGGTGGGATGGGCATCCCAAGCCACCTTGTCTCTCTCCTGAGGAATCTGTACAAGGACCAAGTAGCAACAGTAAGAACTGACCACGGAACAACAGACTGGTTCAAGATTGGGAAAGGAGTACGGCAAGGCTGCATCCTCTCACCCAACCTTTTTAACTTGTATGCAGAACACATCATGCGATGTGCAGGGCTTGATGAATGCAAAGCTGGGGTAAAAATTGCTGGAAGAAACATTAACAACCTCAGATAGCAGATGACACCACTCTGATGGCCGAAAGCGAGGAGGAGCTGAGGAGCCTTCTAATCAAGGTGAAAGAAGAAAGCGCAAAAGCCGGGTTGCAGCTAAACGTCAAAAAACCAAGATTATGGCAACAAGAATGATTGACAACTGGGAAATAGAGGGAGAAACCGTGGAGGCCGTGACAGAGTTTGTATTTCTAGGTGCAAAGATGAGTGCAGATGCAGACTGTGGCCAGGAAATCAGAAGACGCTTCCTTCTTGGGAGGAGAGCAATGTCCAGTCTCGATAAAATAGTAAAGAGTAGAGACATCAGACTGGCAACAAAGATCCGCCTAGTCAAAGCCATGGTATTCCCTGTAGTAACCTACGGATGTGAGAGCTGGACCTTAGGGAAGGCACTTGGGTAACCATGCAAAAGGTGTGTTGGAGGAAAATCCTGAGTCTGTGAGAAGATCAACCAGTCCATGCCTCAGGAAATAAAGCCCGACTGCTCATTGGAGGGAAGGATATTAGAGGCAAAGATGAAGTACTTTGGCCACATAATGAGGAGACAGGAAAGCTTAGAGAATTGTTTTGATGCTGGGGAAAGTGGAAGGCAAAAGGAAGAGGGGCCGACCAAGGGCAAGATGGATGGATGGCATCCTTGAAGTGACTGGACTGACCTTGAAGGAGCTGGGGGTGGTGACGGCCGACAGGGAGCTCTGGCGTGGGCTGGTCCATGAGGTCACGAAGAGTCGGAGACGACTGAACGAATGAACAACAACAACAACCAAATTTAAAAAAAAACCCGACAATGGAATATTAAATTTAAAATCTCATGAAGAAATAAAACTACTAAATGAAAATATAACCTGGCTACAGTAATTGCAGATTCAACAAGGTTTCAGAGAGGATAACAAAATAGGCTTTGCCCAAGAGGAGGGGCTATGGGAAACAGTTATGCAAAAGGACAAAAAACTAATTAGAATCGTATACCAAAAACTCCTAACCTGGTCCAGAGAAGAAGAACAAATTAAGAATTGCCAAGTACAATGGGCTAAAGACATAGGGCATAGCATTTCTACGAATCAATGGGAGGAAACTTGGAATAAAAAATTAAAATATACGGCATCCAATGACCTAAAAGAAAATTGGTTTAAAATGTTATACCGCTGGTATTATACTCCAGATAAACTTGCCAAATTTAATAAAGGGATAGCCAAACTTTGCTGGAAATGTAAGGAAGAAAAAGGGACCTTCATACATGCATGGTGGACTTGTAAGAGAATTAAAATTTTTTGGAAGGAAATACATATGATAACACAACAGATTCTAAAAACCAGCTTCTCCTTAAAACCGGAAATTTATCTATTAGGGATTATGGATGAAAAGTTAAGCAAAAATCAAGAGAAGATCCTCTTTCTACTCAGCACAGCAGCTAGATTACTACTCGCAAGAACTTGGAAACAAGATGAAATACCCAGTGCGGAAGACTGGATAATCAAAGTGTTTGACATAGCGCAAATGGACTGTTTATCACAAAAATTGAACAAAACCCGAAGAAAAACAGACTGGTCAGGTTTCTCGGACTTCATCGAATCCAGAACGATTCCACTTTTATTAGATTTGTCAAACTTATGAAAAAGAAAAATATGGAAGGTGAGCCTGAGAAGAGTGTACAGAAGCTAATTGCAAACCAAAGTTATTTAAGTTCTCAGAAGACTTTGGGAAGTTCAATTTTAACCACTATGGGCACTGGTGGGGTTGAGGTCACGGTACTGGGTGTATTCTTTTCTATCTTTCTATCTATCTTTCTTTTTATTTCATGTTCGTTTTGCCTTCTGACTTTTGACTTTTGATCTCTGACTTTTGACACTTGTTGTAAATATTAAAACTCACAATAAAAATATATTAAAAATATTTGTGTATACTTGTGTGTTTGTGTATATATATGTGGTTTTGCGCATGCGTTGTAATGTATTTTATATTTTTTGGCTTTTTAAGTCTTTTCTGTGTTTTTATGAGTGATGGCCACTCATTGGCTTGATAGGTGTATTATGTTTAAATTTGGTGTCAATTCGTCCAGTGGTTTTTGAGTTATGTTAATCCCACAAAGAAACATTACATTTTTATTTATATAGATGGCTGAGACTTGGCTTGACAACAGTATATCAAAAAGCAATCTAGGAGATTTTGTAGTCCACAACCTGAATGTGAGTCAACAGTGTGACGCTGCAACTTAAAAAGCCAATATGATTATAGATCGCATCCAGGGGCGGCTCAACCACTACGCAAAGTAAGCATTGCGGTAGAGTTGATTTTGCCCAGGGGTGCTCTTGAGGTGCTCTTGGGGGAAAATAGACCTTGACATATGCAAGTTGTAGTTACTGGGATGTATAGTTCATCTAAAATCAAAGAGCATTTTGAACTCCACCAATGATGGAATTGAACCAAATATGGCACACAGAACTCTCACGATGAACAGAAAATATATATCAGTGATTGGTTGGGGGGGGGG